GTGATTATATGGAATATTTTGAGCAGAATTCAATCGGAGATTATTATGTGTAGTATATATTCATGCAGATCTGTGCATAATTCAATTGGAGATTATTATGTGAAGTATATATTCATGCAGATCTGTGAGTATATGGAATATTTTGAGCAGGATACAATTGGAGATTATTATGTGTAGTATATATTCATGCAGATCTGTGCAGAATTCAATTTGGAGATTATTATGTGTAGTATATATTCATGCAGATCTGTGATTATATGGAATATTTTGAGCAGAATTCAATTGGAGATTATTATGTGTAGTATATATTCGTGCAGATCTGTGATTATATGGAATATTTTGAGCAGAATTCAATAGGAGATTATTATGTGTAGTATATATTCATGCAGATCTGTGATTATATGGAATATTGTGATATTTCAATTGGAGATTATTATGTTTATATAGTACTTGTTTTAGTTATTCCAAATGTACTGCAATGATTATTGAGTACAAACACTTGCCAGCTAGTTTGTTTTCTGCAAAGATTTATTTATTCAATTAGGTTCCAAGTCATATAGACTAATAAGATGAATTGTGAACTGCAGAAAGACCATTGAATTGAAGAATTTTAGATTCATGAATCTCTACAAGAATACTGTTGTTGTATTTATGTTGTTTTGATACAGTATGACAGGTCCTGCTATACTATAGTAGTTTGTATGGACTACTACTGACCTATTCATGATATTCCATATTTATTGGCTGGATTTACCTGGCCCTACTTTGATATTGTTTTTTGTGTTGTATCATTATATAGATGTTTTGTTAGATAACTTAAAGATATGCTATACAGATATGTAGGTCAGTATTACATAATCATGAAATGAATAAGTCTGAGTATATCATTGGTCAGAAAACACTAAAACCTGCTTGAAACTGTAAAAGTTTATACACTCTATTCCACACTGTATAGAAATAAAATAACGTACGATATAAGTAACTGTGAGCCAATCATTGCATAGAAAAAACTCTATGCACTGTTTATAAGATTCACTGAGACAAGTGGGTCAATACTTCATGTACTTTATGTGCTCTCACACAATTACCTTCCCTTGCATAAAGTTGCTGTACAGTTATATGTAACTGAATATTGTATATTCATCACAAACAACCTTAGCAAAATGATGGTTCGACGAAATGGACGGTTCGCTAAAACAAATAAACCAGGCAATCCAGGCCAATTTGGAAAGAAACTAGATAGAGTGATAGCGAATGAGGATAGTAAGTGAAATATATTTTGCAAAGGTCAGCTTGTAAACTACTGGGTAACCCTAAATGATGAGAAATATGTACAAAATATGTTTTGCATGATTTATTCATATCCCAATGATTTAACTCCTTCACTGCATCTAATAAGGTATATACATACTAATTACGGGACATTTAGGAATTAAGTGACTAGACCAAAGCAAGCATGTTTGAGATTTTAATGATTTTAAATAAATTACCACTTCATTATTTGCTTTTAGACATTCAATCAGCTTTATTTGTCCAACAAACCATATTCACAATTGTTCAATCCAACGATGATTAGGGGATAAGCTATAGAGACCCCTCCATTTGTCCGTCCATCCATCCTTCAACTAGACAACAGCAACACCAAAGTGTAGCAAATCCCATCGACAGCCATGGCTGGCATTTTTACAAACAACGTATACAGCAAAAATGGCAGCCATTTTTCAAAATGGCCACCTTCTACCAAAAGTGTCATTAGACAGTGTGCCACACACACGCATCAAATATGAACAAAATCGCTCTACTACTTCTCGAGTTATAGTAAAATACGTTAAAATGCCGGCCATTTTTCAAAATGGCTGCCTTCTACTTTCAACATCTTGCACTGGCACACCAAAGAGACAAGGAAAGAGGACCTTTACTTTTATTGGGGGAAAGGGATCAAAAGGGTAGCATTCGAGGCACAAATCGCAAATGTGTTATTTTAAAAATAGTTCAATTCTTTGAAGCAAATGATTCTAAAAGTACAACATATCTTTGAAAAAATATCATTCTGTTAAGTGAAATTGTAAAAAAATATTTTGCAATGTGTGAAATTGAATTAAAGCACATGATTCAATGAATAGTGGATGCTTCAATCCACTTATGTCTTCTAGTCTAGGCTTTAAATTCGGACTACCACCCTCGTTCATAGTCTAGAATCGGGACATATGTTAAATTTAATCATCTACAATGCATTGGGTCATTGGCTTAAATCCTATAATATAATATGCCTATCAATACAATATGTAATTATTTAAGTATCATCTCAATGCTTTAATTTTAATAGAATTATTTTAATATTTTACTAACTGTATAATATGAAGTTTGCATTACTGTTGATAAATAAATAAATGATTGCACTGTTCAGTAAAGAAATATAGCAATTGTATTATTTAAACTGATACACTATAGAAATGATTTTCATTGAAAAATCAAATCGGTACCAAAATTATGGTTACCATGTAGTAGTGAAAGGCACATTAAAAATGAACATCACCCCCTTCAATCTATTTTTACAGGTTTTTATGATTATTTCAGATTTTTCTATAGTTTGCGTAACCAGGACGGTGAATTTTCTTCATTTTTCATCAAACATTTTGTCTTACCAATATTTATTATATCTGTCAATTTTATCAAAATCGCGCCGCTACGTTTGAAAATAATTCAAATTATGTAGTTTTTCCCATTGAGCTCCATTATAAAAATGGAATTTTCAAACTTAATATTTTAAAATTCTACGTGGTGAAAAGTTGCATATTGAGTAGTTAGTTAATGTTATGGTGTTAAAAATTCAAAACAAAAAGGAATAAAGAAAAAATGCCACAGAGAAGTCTCAATAGAGTATCTTTAAGGGGCTAAGAGTATATGGGTAAACACAGAAAATTTTGTCTTTTTTGTTTTAGTTTTTATTCTGTAAGATTTTGAGATGTCAATATTTTAATGTTAACCATTTAACAAACATTTTTATTATCTTAAATTAAATTTGTCAATAAAATGCTGTGTAATATTTTAAGTAACCCAAATTATAACTTTTAATCAAATGTTATGGTATAAACCTCCTAATGGGAGTAACTATTACTTATTAACAACATTAATTTGTAATTTGAAGATACATGTACATACAATATTTTTGCATTGATGTACATGAACAAAAAGAAAACTATGAAAATGCTTCAACAGTCTAGAGATCATTTTTGGACTTTACGTGTATGTATCTTTATTAGAAAATAAGACATTCTCTATTTTCTTTTGATTTCCCATAATCCTTTGCACATCGTCTGCTAACAACAGGTGACCTTATAGGGACAATTTACTGAGCTTTTTTTGTTGGCAGCAAACGATCATGCTATATTTGAAAATGGGTGATAGAAAAATCAAAATATGGGTTTACCATACTCAATAACTGTTAACTGATACATGTACTTATACTCATCCCATGCATGTGCTTATACTCATCCCATACATGTACTTATACTTATCCCATACATGTGCTTATACTCATCCCATACATGTACTAATACTCATCCCATACATGTGCTTATATTCATCCCATACATCTGCTTATAGTCATCCCATACATGTACTTATAGTCATCCCATACATGTCCTTAAACTCATTCCAAACTTGATGATTCAAAAGGAAACACCTGGCTTTGTATTTGTTTTATAAGCTATGTCAATATACATATACATCATATATTTAATACAGATCTCTGTTTTGTGATCACATATATACATATTCCTGATTACAACAAGATAAGATGTATTAGGAACAGACCATTTAACCCATCCTCGGAACACAGGCCTCTAGAACCAGTACCTCCTTCTTCTTGGAAGAAGGAAAGAACTTAGTGGATGATGTCTGGAACTCTGCGTTCGGAGGACAATTTGGCCTTGTTAGGGAGACCTTAGATAAAGTTTTTCTGAAAAATAATGTTCTTGGCCTGAATGTTACAAGAAAAAGATATTTAGATATTTTGGACTTGATATAGCATATTTTATCATTCACTTGTCAACATGTACTTAATGTGCACCACCATTCAAAAAAATAACACAACATTGACTCCAAAAGAACATTAAATTAAAAAAGGTCAAATCATGTTCCTTTTATTGAGCTTCTTTCACAATTGACCAACCAGTGTATTCTCATTTGATTCCTCCCCAAATATAACATCTTTAGGACTATTAAAGGTGCAATTTATGATAAGATAGTTGGATTATTTTTTCATATTTTTGAGACTTAACTTTTATGAAAAATATTATCAAAAGTTGAAATTTTATTTGTTGTCAAATCACATTCTTAACTTTTATTTTGTTTTCACAACTTTCATCGCCTTGAAGATGCAAACTTCGCCATCCAGCAAACTCGCAATGACATTTTATGCGAATAAGTGTGATTTTTGTGAATACAAAAAGATTTGAATTGAAACAGAATAGAAATATAGATTGAAATACAAATTGCAAATGAGTTGCTTGACCAATAAGGTCTCAGGTTTACAATTATTTCATGTCGAAGACATGCCCACGTTTGAATACCTCTGATCCAATCATACAGTGTTGACATTCTGACATTGTGTTTCAGTTTCATTATTTTTTTAGCTTTTCCCCTAATTATACATATAACATAAAGACTTAATATCCCTTTGTTAGCTTATTTTAATTATCATTTATGCATTTTGATTTATATTTTTGGGTTATTTTGAAAATGCACAGGGTTTTCATAATTTCAATTTACTGATTGAATAATAGATTAAATGTCCATGTATCCTTTATATGTAACATTAAAACACACTTTAATGTCCTGATTAAATCAAGAAAAAAGAAAGTATGAATTCATATGTTACATTATATTTCTGTTTTCTTGCAGGTCGTGTACTTTACAGCCACCTTCCCTTATGTGGTACTACATATCCTACTTATACGTGGGGCGATTTAGATAATGCGGGACAGGGAATCATATTCTACCTTCAGCCTGACTGGCAGAGCCTAGGAAATGCGAAGGTAAGTAGTCATTTGGGAAAGTTGTCCCAAACAGCTTTCATTACAACTCTCATATTATGACTGCATCGTATTATACACTTTATACTTTTTGATCCTAATGAGGACACATATTAAAAGTAATAGAATTATTTTTTGTGTCATTCCAGTGAGAAACCAAATTGGAAAATCTTAAAAATAGAAGCACGGGACTGATAAAAAAGCATTCAAAAGAGATGTTCAGATAAGATGGTGTTTTGATATAGAGATTTTACTGTAAGCATTACACTCAGTAATATATTGTAATTTTATTTCATCAAGGTATGGAATGATGCTGCACTGCAAATCTTTTCTCTGTCCAACTGCTGGGTCATAGCCACAATTATTGTCTCAGGTATGTTATTGTTGTTTTATTCAATCCAATCTCTGACACTAGAGACATTGCCTGCAAAGTGCATTTGCAAGAACACCTTTCACTATTTTCACACATTTTTTTACAAAGCAGCACAACTTATTGCATCTTTTACACCCTAGCCACTCTAAACTATAACTCATATCTTTATTATCCCAACAAATGAGGTTTGGAGGGGGATATTGTGAAAACTCATGTGTGTATGTCCAGATGATGAATTGCTATTTTGACCAGAGGTGAATAAAAAAGTCATTGATTTATTAGTAAAAAAATCAACTTTATTTACGTTAATTTAAGTTGTTTACATTATGTCATATGATATACAGTGTATGGTAAATTGATTGGAATTCGACTATTTGAGTTAAGAAAATATGCACACCATGGAATGATGAGAGCAAAACAATATTGTAAAATTGTAACAATTTTTGAGACATCTCTATTTTTACATTTTTCATAAATATGTAATATAAAATACTATAAACAATGCAAAACAATAATATACTCATTTGAATTTTTATGTGTTAGCATGTGTTACAGTAAAACCTGTCTAATCTGAACTTTTTTTGGACCAGCCAAAAGTGCTCGGAGTAGCAGGTGTTCACATTTTAGATTTTTTTCAAATTATAGGTGTTCAGAGTAGAGAGGTGTTTGAGTAAATAGGTTTCACACTTGTGCTAAAATTATAATTAGTATAATTTTTTTCTTGATACTTATTGTATCGTAGACCTTTTACATTCAGTTTGTCAGTTTGGTGATTCTCTCATTTAATCTGCTTAACTAGGGGGTAATTTCAAACCCAATTGAATAAATCCGACATTGTTGTTCATTCAGTTCAACCCAGCCACCAACTTTAATGTTTTCTGGTTCAGTATGGCTTTGCCACACCATGCCATCTAGTACACCAGGAGTTCCAGTTCTGCACATCTTATATGTGATACCAGCGGTGCTGTCAGCGTAGAAGAAACCAACTTTGTCATAAGGTTGAACCTGGAACCAAAATTTAAATGTTACATAATATTAAAGCCCACTCTACAAGTATATACCCCTGGTCACTTTAAAAAGCATGTGAAACTATATCTAATATAAAACGTTGACATAAAAATCAACTTTTGTTATGTAACAAACATTCATAACATTGAATTACCTGAATTCTCTTTTCAGCTTCTATATGAAATGTGTTTATTCTTCTCGGATGTATTAACACTTCATTTGATCCCACTAAAGTGAAATTTAATGACAACTCATTTCGACGCCATATTTGCATGTGAACTGTTGTGTACACCTCGGAGTAAATAACCCATTTGGAGATTCCCCCTCCTCTTGTAATGCGTAGAGTGTTCATGTCAATCACAGTCAGCCAGTTTGGACCATCAACAGTGCCGTAATTCATCATCCGATTTTCTTGGTAAATTGGTACAGTTGATGATGCTTTAAGAAATGGAAGATTAAGAAACTGCATTACATACACAGTATCCAAAATTCATTATTACAGTAAAAAACTGTCTTGTTAGCACTATGTATAAAATGTTGGTTTTGAATAATTTTGCTGACTTAAAACAACCTACCTTCACACTTAGGGACGTTTGAAGAACAGTCTGAAAATAAATGAATACCAATAACCTGTATATTATGGGTCCCATGATAATTCATTTATTCAATGCAATATCATATCTGGGACACACTTTGAATCATGCTTTTTTACTATAAAAGAAAATTCAATGTGAGTACTTTTTATCAAATATTTGGAGTGTAATGGAGTTACTAATCCAACACAGAATCATTATTAAAAATTATGAAAATCATGACAATTATGAGAGACATTTGGCCAAAAGTAAATAGAAGTAACATTTAAAGAATTCTAGTTTATTTATCATTATAGTTGCTTCAGAGTTGTTTACCAAATAGACCATCATATTGTAGGTGGAAATGGTCTCAATGGGTAATTTCTTTGTAGATTATGAATCATTTTGTCACCAGAAGTGGAGACATATTGTTATAGTCTCCAATGTTTTTATGTACGGCATTTGGCGTCTGTAACAAATTACAAGGTGAGGACATTTTGTCATGTGAATGCCTTGTAGGGGTTTAATATTCCCATACCTGTTACAACATACTGGTCCCTATAATCTATGTTTCTGCAATAGGTCTCTGTTTTGCCACACCAACCATGTGTACTGCAACATGGATAGATCCCATCCCAGCCAGGTATAGGGGAATCAATGGGGCATTCAAGGTCGTTAAACATTGGCCCACATCTACCATCTTGACTTACTATTGAAGGGTCTTGTTCTAAAATATATAAATTTCATGGTGTCAAGCATCTGGGACCAGGCTCAAGATTAATTTTTGAGGTTTGATTTAATGCAGCATATATTTTTTGTATAATACTGTACAGTTTTGGCCTATTTTAATCATATTATTACATTTGTTACATATATCTCTCTGTATTAACTTTTTGCATTTAACAAATACTATTCACTACTTGACATTTTCTGCTTTTTTGGCAGTTTACAAAAGTCAAAATTACATTGCCCTCCATTATCTTACAGCTGCTGTAGGACATCTGCATACCACCATATGCCTTCTTGCTGTTATATTTTAGCTTACAATATTCTTACCCTTACATCCTTTAATTCTTGGTACAACTGTAGCAACACCATCTATGGAAGTACATGCCATAGAGTGGAACCCATTAGTAATTTCATAACCATCATTACATTCATATGTGACACTGTCACCAATCATCAAAGAATCATCTCCAGAAACAACCATTGCACTTTCAACATTTCCAAGCTGTGCACATGCTGTAAAATGGAGTCTAATGTTATTTCAAAAATGGACAATGTTTAAAAAGGTAATACATTCTTTGAAATTTTACCCAAATGAGAGAGTTTCATTGTGCCTTAACTTTACCTACAAATGATGCATGTAAAATGTATATTTTATACCTTCGGAAGAGGCATATTTCTCCCTATAGTCTACACAGCCAGAACATGCACAATGTGCCACCTCTTTGCCACACCAACCTCTAGAGCTACAACAGGGGTAGATTCCATCCCACCCTGGGATTGAACTAGCAATTGGACACTCAGTGTCATGAAAGTTTGTACCACATCGGCCATTGGAAGAAATCTTTGAAGGATCTTGTTCTTTCAAAACAAATCGGTTATATTTATTAATCAATTTGAATCAATGGAAGACTACATGCCAAGACTATGCTGCTTGCATCTTTTATTTAGGAAATCATTGAAATCAAACGATGAAATCTAACGGGGAATATTTAGTTTAAATTAAACCCTCAATGGTAAGAATTTTGAGCTCTTATGCAACATTCAAATGTACTTACCTTTAACCTGTGAACATATTCCACAGGTTTGCTTGCAATAACGTGTGGCAAAGTCATTCTCTTCAGAACATAAGGTTGGCAAGTGTTCCAAAAGCTGCAGACAATTATCTGCATCATCCTTACAAACGACATCAATATCTGGTAGGACACCTTTACAGACATATGGTTTTTCATAGGCACATGAGGTAGCATCCCAACGCCATGGATTAGTTTCCCACCACCATTTATGGATGTATGTACAGTTACCCAGTCCTGGTTCAGCTATATGCCAATCTGTATATGGTTCATATGATCCATCAGACCATTCCCAGCGGTTTTCCTCTTTTTGATCATTCCATCCTATCCAGTATGAACCAGTGACACCACTAAAATTAAATATATATATAATTAAGAACTACAATTAAAAATCTGATATTACTCAGTAAATGGAACTATCATATCATTATCATATCATAATCATAGATAGACAGTATACATGTTGACATTTTCTTTTTATCCCATCCAACGAATTTCGCGTGAGGACATAGAGAACAGTTCCATCCATCTGGGCAATGACTCCAATACAGTTGGACCAATATTGTTTATGTATATGCCCCAATGGGAGTACGAGTTCTGCTCAACTTTTCAAAATGGCCCCCAGTTTCAAAATGGCCACCATATTAGTGTAAATCTTACAGTATTTTAGGTTCTAACATTTATAAACTGTAATATTAATATGTTTTTAACACCAAAAGATTGTAAAGGATATTGATTAAGTTGGTTAAGTCGATTTTTGTAAAACTGAAAAAGTAATAGAGGGATTTTGTGAAAATAGCAGCCATGGCTGTTTGATTAGGGTTTGGTATTGCTGTTATCTAGTTTGATTTTACCCCTTTGATGCTACATTCTGTATGAAGTCATCTTCAGCTTCATCATGCATACTGGCTAGGTGACCTCCCTCTGTAATACAATACTGTTCAGCCATATACCAGGTATGGGCACTGGGGAATGCCTTGTAGCAGTTCTCATTGTAATAACTCCAACCATATTCGCAACCATCTAAAATATACAACTCAATCAAGAATTCTTTGATTATGGTGTCCTCAAGGATTGGTCATTCATATCATGGGCTTTCAACTCAGCTAAATCTTACAAAAGCAGAAATCCTATTATGAAGTAAAAACTGTTTGTTTATTACATTATTTCTTGATTAACACTTTATAATGGAGTAAAATTACATTAGTGGCATATAGATGATTGGTTACAAAAAATCATATGAAACCTTACCCTCAGCCATTCTTTTGCATATAAAGTCTACAGTATTATTGCAGTTCATATCCTCCCAATATCTCCCATCATTTGGAAAGACAGCTGTGCAATCTTCTTCACCATTACCCCATCCATTATCTGGCTTGTAACGATACCACCACCTTAGATATGCAGATGGATTCCCATCCAACCACTTGAATCGTGGATATGTGTTGTACTCGCCAATGTCCTCTGTTAGGCCTATCCAAAGATCATATACTCCATGGCTGAAGAAGAGAACATAACACTTGAATACTACAAGTCTATAAAGACATATATATTAATTTCACATTTATTTCAAATGATAGGCAAATGATGACCAATGTTTGTTTATAGTATTATGTGCCAAATTTGAATAGCCAAAAGACTATGGTTAGAAAGTTATTTGGTTTTATTGCTGTGGCAGTAGTCTCTGACTGCGTTTTTCGTATCTTTCCAATACTAATGTCTTTTGAGCATTTGTCCAAGGCATCATGTTTTACAACTAACTAACAACATGAGCTATACATACACAGTCTCTTCTTTCCTTCCTGAAAAAATGAACACAATTGGACTAGTATTTTCCAAGATATAGCAATTTCTTTGGGTTGCATTTTTTTTGAACACCCTGTATCATCTAAGATGGTGGCCAAAATTCTTTCGTTTCAGATAAACTTCCAATTTCAGGTAAACTAAGTTGAATCTGGATTCCAAATTTTTCTACATGCAAACAAATGAGGCTGTGATTGTAAACAGTCACTTAAGATATTGTCAAACACCCGTGATATTGGGAGAAATTTGGAAAATGGCCTCACTTAGAATGACTCTGAACTTGATGATGACGTAGGAATGACACTAACTGAAACAGTGGATGACACTAACTCTATATGGGATGAATACATGCACGGGCATCTGAGTTAGTGTCATCAATGGTGAATATCATGTTTGAGTTAGTGTATCATCAACTTCAGTGAGACTCATTCTAAGTGAAGCTGTTTTCCTTAAAATTCTCTATTAATGCGGGTCTATGAGCATTTTTCCTGGCTGTTTACAATTGTTACCTTGTGAGTTTGCATGGCGAACCATCTGGATTCCACATTGAAGTGAAATAGTTGTTTTCTCAAAAATGAAATGAATAAAAGAATTTTGGCTGCCATCTTGATGATACTAACTGCAGCTTGTCATCCAGCTTTGGAACAGTGTCTATGATGTGTTGTATAGATTGTGTTTGTCTTAATTATGTTAATTAGTTATGTCTGTAATTTGGAAGCTGTGTACATCATTAATATAAATCATTTGTGCATACTGTCCATTTACCTTTCTGCTAATTCATACACATAGACATGTTCTTCCCGGCTTAGAAGACTAACTAAATCAGCATTAACATCATTACATTTAGCTGCTGCATCCAAGAAATTGAGTGACTCAGTGAAAACTGCATAACAATTTCCATTGAATTCATACCATCCAACTGGACAAACTACAAATAAAGTCCATAATGTTTTGAACTACTAACTTTCAAAAGCATAATGCTTCAACTTGGATATTTCTCATATCTTTCTAGTATTTCTAACTCTAGCTTTGGAAGTGGAAATGTAACAAAAAATTTTTGATGTCCCGATTTTTGCTGGCATAAAAAGTGATATCCCATTTTATTCTGAGCATAAACATTTTCTGCTGGTATTATTTAGAAAATGTATAATGGTAGTTCAAGATGTAGTTCATTCTGACATAGATTTCTGAACTAATGTTAGTGAAGAATTCCTAATAGAATTGAGAATTAATAGCTAGAATGGTTCTGTTTTGCCCCATCAAACAATTTCCAAACTTGCACTTGAAATTCATTTCTGTCTATATGTGTTACAGTCTGTCATGACTGTATCAATCATAACAATGGAAATTAGGTGAATTCTATCTGTTACAGAGAGATTATCTATGATGTCACATGATAATTTGATTTCTAAGAAATGAAGCAGAGTTCTATCTAAAACAGAGATGCTTTGTGATGTGACCATAAATTATCTTGTTTCCAGTGTGATGATTGATGATGTCATCACAGATACTTTGTGATGTCATCATGAATAACCTAATTTCCATTGTGATGATTGTTGATCACATCACAGAATGTCAACAAATAGACAGAAATGAAGTTGAAATGCAAATTAGAAAATTGTTTGCTAGGGCAAAACAACTCAGTTTCAGCTTATATTTCTTAATTCTATTGGGAATTCTTAACTAACAGTCTGTGTCAGAATGATGTGTCTTAAATCTTGGACTACCATTAAACATCACATCCTTAATAATACCAGCATAAAAAGGGATATCACTTTTTATGCTCAGCATAAAATGGGATATCACTTTTTATGCTCAGCATAAAATGGGATATCACTTTTTATGCCAGCGTAAATGGGTTTTATTCTCAGCATAAAATAGGACATCATTTTTTATGCTGGGCATTAAATTGATATAAAAAAACCTAACAAATCCGGGTATTTGTTTCAGTCCAATTTTATATAATTCGCTGTTTAAAAATCTTATATCTCTCTTGTGATCCCTTGTATGAGTACCTCCACATATCACTTTCCTTCCACTCCATGTACCGTCTGTTAAAGCTTCACGTTCGTCAAACCCAAATGCTTGTAGGTTGGTGATTTCTTCCCCATTGGTCTCACTACAGACAAATCTGACTTTGTCTCCATCTTTATAGGTTCCACTAGCTGGGATTGGGTCGAGTGTATAAGCATTGGGATCTTCTACATAAATACTTGGATTGATAAAAGCTGAAAGTATGTATGTGGAAAATTTAATAGGTTCATGTTGCTTAATCAAGATACGTTGACACTAAAAACGAATATTTATAAACTGATTTATCAGTATTTCTAAATTTTATTCTATCTATAACTTTTGGTCGGGTACCTCTATCTAGGCTACTCTTTTGGTAATTGTTGCCTTAGTAATTAGAATGTTAATTTATTTTTTCACCAACCTCTTTCTGTCACTCCCAATGTACACAGAGAACATGATTTCTTGCAGCCATATAAACCCTCATCAGATTCACAGTATTCTTCAGTCAACAAATCAGCACAATTGTTATATATATCATGACAAGTCCCTACAAAAGTACAGGAAAGTATTTTCCACTAGCATAGCGTATCATAGTTGTAAAATGAATTTGTTATGGTCAAACTGATGAACAAATAACCATAAAATTAAACATTGTATATGTTTAATAATTTTGTACTTAAAAGGTTTTCCTTACCAAGATTAGCGACGTCGCAAAAGTCTTGAGTGCAGAAGTGATCTGTATAACACCATGGCCTGTATAATTCATTTGGGTTTCTACAGTAGTTGTGTGATCCCAGACCTTTTTCATAGTACCTAGAATAGTGAAACTTACATGTCCATGAGCATTTTCGTGTATGGATTTGATAATATTTAGAGTTACACCCCAGGTTTAATTGCTTGGTTATAAAGCATTTTAACAAAAAAAGCTTCGTAATGAAGGATCTTGGAGGTGTTACTGCAGACAAAATATTTTGTTAACCTTTCCAAAATCATTTTAACACTGGGTATAATGGGTACAATTGTCCTCATGATTCATATATCATATTTGATTTATATAAACATGCTTTTCTTGTTTTTATCTCATCGAACGAAGTTCAGAGGGATATAGGGAACGCCTCTGTCCGTCCGTCCATCCGTCCGTCCGTCCATCCGTCCGTACGTCCGTCCGTCCGTACGTACGTACGTCCGGGCAATAACTCAAATACCGTTGGCCCGATTTTCAAAATGGCCGCTCATTTCAAAATGGCGGCCATTTTAGTGCCGAATTTACAGTAATTTAGGTGCAATATGTAAAACTGTAATAGCAATATGTTTAAGATGTAAAAAAATTATATAGGACATTAATAAAGCTAGAAATGTAGATATTAAAGAAGCACATGGCAGCCATCTTGAAAAATGGCGGCCTTTACTCGTTATTTTACGAGATTTGCTGTAACTCGAAAAGTAGTGGAGCGATTTTGTTCATATTTGGTATGTGAATACTATAAACATTGCACACTGTCTAAAGACACTTTTGGTAGAAGGTGGCCATTTTAAAAAATGGCCGCCATTTTGAAACTTATGACACTTTTAGTAGAAGGTGGCCATTTTGAAAAATGGCCGCCATTTTAATGTATTTTATAATAATTCGAAAAGAAGTGAAGTGATTTTGTTCATATTTGGTATGTGAATACTGTAGGCATGGCACACTGTCTTATGACACTTTTGGTAGAAGGCGGCCATTTTTCAAAATGGCCACCATTTTAATGTATTTTACTATAACTCGAAAAGTAGTGGAGCGATTTTGTTCATATTTGGTATGTGAATACTATAAGTATGGCAAATGGTCTAATGACACGTTTGGTAGAAGGCGGCCATTTTGAAAAATGCCTGCCATTTTTGCTATATACTTTGTTTGTAAAAATGCCATCTATGGCTGTTCGATGGGATTCGCTACGCTTTGGCGTTGCCGTTGTTCTGGTTTGATAAGCTTACTCAGGTATAAATGGGTTAACAGCACAGTGGCGCACATCCATCCAATTCATACATCTGCGGTTTGCCTGTGTGTATGATACAGTGCCGCGATATGTGTCACCCTTTAGTTCATGGTTGTAATAAACATCAATATCTGCATCTAAATTCAAATAAAATGAAATTGTTACTTTATACAGAAAGCCACCACCAAACGCTGTATGAACTAGTAGAAAATAGTATAAGATTTTTAATTTTTCAGGAATCATATTGAGCACATGAAACATATCAAACAGCATATCAACCACAAATTTTTTTTCAGAATAGCAGTTAGGTTTTGGGTTGTGAATTAGAATAATCTTTTACAAATGTCAGATACTAATTTAAGTAATAAGATTGATTCGTCATTACTTGTATTATATCTGACGATGGCCTTGAATCCACTTGCTTCTAAAGTCTTGTCAGTACTTAGAGTAAGCCACATCAGGTTTGTTTCTGCAGTCCATGATCTTGATATGTTTCCACCACAAACCCTGAATAAAAGTTGCATTCAGCCATAATGATATCTTTTTTTAGTGGTAATATTTATCAAAATGTCCAATTGTTATCATCGCTACACAGAAATCTTGATCATGTCTATTTGAAAGTTTGAATACCAATAAGAATAATTACTTAATCCCTTTCTGTCCTGGTAAGCTTTGTCTGATTTCAACAAAATCATTGCAGTCAGTTTTGAGATTTGATACACCATCTAAACCACCATGAACATCAAATGTCTCAAAGTAGACATTCACTCGTGCCTCTTTTGGAGCCTGTAAAATAGTTATCATTTAGCTATCATGTTTTTCATGTTATATTAAAAGGATTGTTTTATCAAGGAAGAAGGGCAGGTGTATAATGATTATGCAGTATTTATGTTTATATATATATAATATATCCTAAGACAATTTCATATTTCATTCCATGCAAGTCTTGAAGATGTGTCACAAAGACAAGGACCTTGTTTTCCTTTCCAGAGGGTATATTATTTTGTTATTCACCATTAGAAAGTGTAGACGTTTGAATTAACATACAATGAACAAGAGTGTTATATACAGTACTTACTTTTATAAACCAATTACATATTTGCTCTGGATTGTAATTGTTGGGATAATTAGGTGTCTGGATAGTTGCAGAGGGATTGTTTTCATCTAGTGTAATCTCATAATTGCAGCCTACAATAATATATTTGTCAATTTTGTTACATACTTAATACAAGTATTTTGCCATTTATAAGAAATGTTTTTATTATCTTGAAGCAAATGAATTGGATACCAAAGCTTTTGCTTACCATATTTGAGAGGGTAATAGTAGCAAAGTAGAAATGAGTACTTATTGTGCCAGACAGGATCATATGGGAATGCACCAGTTCGTTTGTGATTAGGATCATCTTTTTCATCAAATTGGATGTACTCAGTAGTAACAGCCATGCCTAGATAGAGGAATATTTTATTCTCATGTTTACTTAAATGTCTATATGAATGACAGCATTTGAAGCAGTTGAACTGTGCCTTAATTCCAGTACCGAACGTGATATAAAACAATCAATAATTATTACAGTCTAATCTGCAGATTTTTCCAAGTGTAGAATCTATCCAAAGACATCGGTAAAAAAGTAAGCCCTGAAAGGGTTCCAAACATTCAGCCATGTGTAAATTGTGGTAATCTTACCTGCAACAGCCTGACAAGATGCACCTTCATGTCTAAACAAGTAGAAGGGCTTGGAATTTGGAAGCTGAATCGGCAAGAACATATCGCTATCAAACGGGTCATTCCTGCAGCAGAACTCGTATTCCGTATCCTGAAATATGTTTTAGTGGGATATTTATATGATAATTACCTTAAGAGGTCAACCCTTGGTCTTGTGAGAGTGTACTTACTCCTGAGATATTTGTAGAAATCCCTATTTGTAGAATTCTTACATTTATTTAGCAGTAGTGATTTGAACAGGCATGAAAGTAACAAGCAAATCAATTTTGAAATCTGAAAATGCACGCACACTGAAAAAAGTAGTAAGAGGTAATGAATCAATCAATATAGCTTTGAGTTTTAGTAATGCATATCTAGCTATGTGATTTATATTGCAAAGAATGGCTTACATCTTCCAGGACTCCATCTGGTACTGCTCCACTATGGTTTCCTTGCTTAGAATCATTATCATCAATTCGCACAGAACCCATTTTGAAACCTTAATATAAAAATATGAATACATTTCATAATATTTATTATGATTGTGATGATTTTTTGAGAAAATAGACATGTTTAATAACCATACTCTTAACTTTTAAAAATAAAAAATGCTCCTGTTTAATTTGCTTCATAATGTGATTATGTAAGTCTACCTTTTGGACAATCACCATGCTTGTAAATACAATATCTTCCTTCGGGCCAATCATATGTGCCATCATCTCTTGTGTCAATACAGAACTGATCCTTTGACCAATCTCTTGTTTCATCATAGGAATCAGCATGTATATGTTTCTTGTAGTTTCCAGTGAGGACATTGTTTCCCCCCCCCATAGTGTAATCTGTACCCTGTGCTGAAATCCCCCTCAGGACATCCAGTATTAGGCAATGGAAGACCATATGTACCAGAGGGCCATTTGGTAGGAGCAGTTAGAGCTGAAATAAAAGTTGTTATCAATTTTGTTGAAGTTACTGTATCATATTTGTAAATTGTCTCTTATTCTCCTGCTGAGATACACAATTTATTTTCATAATTTTTATTTTCAGTTCTGTCTTTGGCTGTCATATTATATTATAATAGGATTTTATAATAGGACCTCAGTAAATGGTATGTTCAATATTACTTACAAGGGTCATCAAATTCCTCACATCTTTCCCGAGTGAGACCAGGTAAACAAATACATGAACACTGGTCATTCACCCAGCCAAGATATCCTCCATTCTTGCAGCCTGCTTCTTTCTGCTCTACGGTACACCCAGCTGTGGGAAAAAGGTATTTTATTGATGACAAACTGTTGGATTCAATATTTTTCTTCTTAGAACTAAGTTCTGGGAATTTATCTGTCATTTCATTATTTTTCAACCAATCTACTTTAAATTTTCATGGTAAATGGAGAATGTAATTTTGGGTTGGATAAAAGTCTCATTGTCATATGATGTCACAATGGATAATTATTGTTACTATAGCAACATGACAAATGTTGTAGTGGGTCAAGCAAAACTTAAATTCATTTTTTTTTTACTTGACCCAAAAGTATGATTAATTAATACCTATTTGGTAGACAAATTTCTTTGATTTTTTATGTTTTTAAATATTTCTAACTTTAGTTTGTAAAGTGACATCTGTATTGTGATATAAGAGTGCACTTTGCTCAATTTTCTTATCATTGGTCAGACTCTCAAAGTCACAATCACGACTCAAAATAGCAAGGAGTTATCTTCCATTATGACTATGCTTCTTCCCACTCCTCACATTGTCCATACTACTCTTGAAGAATTCGGGTTCACACAAGTTGTTCATACCCCATATTCACTATATACAGTTCACCAGATAAACCACCATTAGGTTCACTAAATTTGACTGTTGAAGCATCATATGAGAGATCATCATAAGTTTGGTTCTGATGAGTGACTGATCTCAACAGCTTGAGCAAATCTTCAAGGGATACCAAAGGGAGGACTGGAAAGCGTCTTTATGGACTAGGTTTGACAACAATGCATGTGCGTCCAGGCCTATGGAAATCAATATAAATGAAATGATCCTCCCAGCAATGAAGAATACTTCTGAATAAATGACTTCAAGAGCACTGTTCTGCCTCTAGTACAATAAGTTTGAACCAACCATCTTGGCAAGATGAATATGTTCTAGCAGGAAATTTTCAAATTAGCGTTAGTCAAATTTTGCTGACCCGTGGACCACTTTTACCTTTTTATCACACCATCGGTGGGATATAGTCGTCATACTGGTCGTGGTCGTGGTCGTGATCGTGATCGTGGTCGTGATCTTCCTGCTTTTTGTCATCGCCATTTAAGGAAAACTGCTCATCAGATTTTCTCCAAATTCGCAGAGATGATAGAGGATATCAAGTACTAGAGCTGATTAACTTTTGGGCGGCCATCTTGTTTTCTGGTGGCCATTTTGAAGGATTTTCGAAAAAACCTTGTCATCGCCATTTCAGGAAAACCGCTCATCGGTTTTCCTTCAAATTTACACAAATGATAGAGGATATCAAGTACTAGAGCTGATTAACTTTTGGGCGGCCATCTTGTTTTCTGGTGGCCATTTTGAAGGTTTTTTGAAAAATCTTGTCATCGCCGTTTCAGGAAAACCGCTCATCGGATTTCCGTAAACATAATAGGAGAACAGTTTTTCTGGTTCATAGTGTCTGCCTATTTGATGGTGTGATCTCGTTCACATCCTGTGCCTTGTTTATAATTACAATAAAATAATTTGACGCAGGGATATGTATATGAAACATTGTCTGTCAATTCAGAATTATACAATGTACATTTGCTGGAAGTTTCAACTGAATTGGTTGAAAAATATTGAAATGACAGACCAATTCCCAGAACTTAGTGATCACCCTGTATATCACTCTGTAGTATATAGGTTCTTTTCAATTAAGGTCAAAATTAATAAACGCTTTTGTAGACCAATCAGCAACTTTTGAACTTCAAGAGTTTTAACTTGTAAATGAATATAATATCAATACTTAACTGTCTCCAAAAATATTAATTCGGCCATTCAATACAATCAACTAAGACTCTGTACATCAGAGTTAGAACCAGACAGGTATGTCAATTTATGGATATGAGTCACATCCTTCAATGCACAATTCCATTTAGGCACCATGACAGGCCTGTCAACTGTCCCGCAATTTGCGTATTTGTCACGCATTTGCTGAAGAATTTGAAGTCACGCCAGTTATTTTTGCGTGACAGAAAATGTCACGCAAATACGCATTTTACCTGGTAATTGTCAAGCAAAAATATTTCTGTTGAAAATTTTCTAAAAAAGATCGTCTACACAGCAAAAATACGAACGATGGGAAAAAACGTACGCATTTTGTTCGGACTTTTCACGCGAATTACGGATATGTCACGCATTCCGTTCGAAATTTTTCGTACCTACCCCCCCCCCCCCCCCCCCCGTTGATGGATGTTTTAAACGCGAGCATAGCGAGAGCGAAAAATTTGAGGTGTCAAAAATTTGGCAAGATGTAATAAAATTCAAACCAAGGTGTTCAAAATTTGGACCAACGTGTTCAGATTTGGACCAAGGTGTCCACATTTTGAGGGGAGGTGTTCAACATTTCCAAGTCACTCATGTTAGGTGTTCCCAAGTTGACAGGCCCACTTACTTGGTTCTTTAACAATTTACAAGTATATCTTACCGTCACACTCATGTGCTTTTGTGATGTCCATGAGGTCATAGAAACCATAATGGTAATGCCTTGCAGTCCAGAGGTACTCCCATCTGGGATCTAATGGCTCCATGGTTGGCCATTCAGTTCCAGAGGCAAACTAGAAAGGAAAGCTAGAATGTTGATGTTTAAAAACCCTTTCTAAAACTCAAATTTCCATCAAACTGTAACTCCAATAATGTACATGTACTTCAGTAGAATATTTATTTTAACAAAAATATCATTGATATGAATAAACTTACCCATCTGTCATAGTTCATAACTGAAGCTATGTCAACGGGATGGAAACTTATATAGTCGTTCACATGATGGAACTCATATCTGTGCCAACTGTGTTCACTAATTGTAGCTGTTAAGAAAATGTAGCTTTTTTCAGAATAAGTGAGATATTGATATAAACATCTATTTTCAATAAGGTGTTTTGGATATTGAAGAAATGTTTCAGATTGTGAACCTTCTTAGAGTTATACTTTAGTGTTCGATGAATGATTCTACTGAACAAATTTATAAGCTTACGATCAATGTTTTCTTGTCTAAACTTCAGACGCTCCCATGCTTTTTCAGCTTTTTGCTCATGTACCATTCCCAACATATGTCCAAATTCATGTAGTGCCAAATCATTCATTTATGACTGACACTCTACACAGTATTATTATTAACAGACATACCAGTATTGTTGTCAGTCAGGTTTAAGGCAGTTTGACTTATCATATTCTTTCTAATAAAGGCACAGTGTGTCTCCCAAATTTCCCTGGAGGAGATGTGTCAAATTACGAAATCCTCTGGGATTTTTGAACGGTATATATGATTATGAATTATTCAATCAAACCTATTTATAATTGCCCAATTAATTTATTCAATTTTTTTAAATTTTGTCTTGATTTTTGTAACTCAAGTTGCCATCCTTTGATGGAAAAGTAGGGTGTGGGGTTATTGAGAGTGTGTGTATCTATTAGAGAGAAAACAGTAGAGTGAAGATTATTAAGATCAACTGTGATTAACTACTCATACATTGGATATTGCCTTTTTTCAAATAATTTCAGAAATACTGTACTTCTACTTAATTCCCTTTCATTCCATCCTTACCACACTACAAACTGCAACATCGATGCAACAACTGAATAAAGGTACCTTCAAATTGCATCATAGAGTTACTTTCAAAAACCCCAAACGACTGAGCAGTTGACCAAAGGAGAGTTGTCGCTATCATCTAAGTCAATGGGTTCAATGTCTGACAAGTGAATCTATAGTAATCGTTTCTGAATTTTTTGTTAATTATACAAGCTATTATTGATTTTACTCGATATACTGACCGTTATATCAATGACAAACAATACTTCGGATTGTGTAATTGTTTTATCTAGCGTTTGGGTGTAAAAATAAAATAGTGTAATTAGTTTAATTTAGTACTTTCGGGTCACCCAAATAGCTCCGCGAAATGCATAATGGTAAAATATCAAGCAATCAAATATTGTTCTTTTGGGGAGCATTTTAAGGACATATTTTCATACCTTCTCTCCTTAAGAGTGAAGCATGGAAAGGAGAATTGGGCTGATCCGCCAAATTGTAAAAGTTTCGAACACAGTATTTCACATAACAGCAGTGCATGAAATAACCAATAACACATTCGTTGTATGGTTGTCATCATGGTGAGAACTAAACTCACAGATTGGAATTGATGCTTTGCCAATTTGACCCTTGCAAAATGTTTCATTGAAAATATGTTATTGTGGTGATTTTATATCTAAGTGCAATGTATGAAAAGAATTTAAGCCCAAGACCCGATGCATTGTGGAATGACCATTCCTTTCAGGTGTTGTTTCCTAAAATTTTGCCAACCAACACCTCCAAGGAATGGTCTGTCCACATATCACTGAGTCAAGGGCTTAAATTCTTAGCTATTGTAATTCTGCTAAACTAAGTAGCCGCCAAATGAACAATAACAGGAAATCCACCAAAATAAGTAGCGCCAAATTAAGAGGAAGTACAGTATGAGATGAAGATTTTAACAGAAGTCACATCAATGATCGGCTTAATATAGATGCAAATATATACGTACACCTTTGCCTGTTGCATGAATAGCCTGTCCTCCACCAGTTACTCGACCAACAAAAGACCAACAGCATCTGACATACAAACATAGAACTTACCCCAGTTTTTAAGCATATAACAAGAAGTGAAATACTACATATATTGTGATGGTATTCATGGCTGTTTGAGTGTACTGTGTGTGAAACATAACAAACCATATACAGTGGTCTTTATCTTTAAATGTATCATCCATTAATGAATTAACAAGTTGTGCATAAGCCATCAACATAGATTTAGGTAAATCATTTACTTACCCACCACGATGGGTGAAGTTAGCCCATGATTTATGTTCCAATCCCAATTCTTCATGTACCGTCTCAGTGTATGGCACAAACCTCAGACATGTATGTTCATGTACATATTGCTGAGCTAGTTTCACATCATTTCGGGCCTCGGGAGCTAAAACAATTGGGTTTTCAAAATATAGAAACCCAAAAAGAGGGCGTAAGGTGCTCCACATATGTTTTGAGATAATTAAAACTACATTTCTACACTAATTTCACTTTCAAAATATAGATGTTTCAATATTTGTTGGCTATTGGTATTATAATGTGCCATTCCATATTTTGTTTTAATATATTTTATTTGTTAGTTTCATTTCTTTCCAAATAACTGACAGAGAAAATTAATTGGTTATATTTAGAAATATAAAAGTTTACACCATGCTCATTTTTGTACTCTCAGACATTATAAACGAGTATAAAATGCATTTATGAATACGGCATAATAACATTACTTGATGTTTCCCCCCACTCCCAGGGTATGTACACATATCCATCTGTTCCCTTTGTCCAGTGCATTCCTTTGTGTTTAACAATGTTTCTTTTCTTGCGTTGCCTTATATTTCTCAATGGAAGACTGCCTTCCTTAGGAGACAATGAGCGTTTCTTTCGAGCACCAGCCTCAGTGTGGGTTTCCTTTCCCATTTGCCTCATCTTGGTCTCTTTCTTCCTATCATATTGGTGTGAAATGCCATCAGGGTCTTCTTCATCTTTATGCTTTGCACGATCATATGCTTCCTCTATTTCTCTTGGAGCTTGTTTGTTGTTGAACTTTAATAATATACACGTAGGTATCGTTAATGATGGGTGAATTATTTATTAGGAACATGTCAAACTCCAAAGGCTCCAATGCTCCCAATTTTCAGGATTTTGTAATATCAACATAATGAATGTAAGACATGTCTTTTTATAATACTTTTAGTACATTTAAGAAGTATTTGACAATATTTTGATAAAATGCTGTTGATTTGCATATATATGAGATGTATGTTTGATTATTTGGTCAAGTTTAAATGCAATCATACTTCTTCTATCCCTTTTGGATGTCTCCCTTCAGCCAATTCTATCAGTGCTTCTCTTTCCTTTTTAGTGTCTATGTTAAACATGATGCCTTGTGTCAGCTCCATTTGAGCCATCTGGAGTTTCTCTTCAAATCCATGGTTTGAGGCTTGAGCAATGTAGCCTTTATGCATCTATATAGACAGAATATAGTTTTTTTAATTACATTGTTATAAATGGATTGTTTATTTTTGAAAAAACATTGTTTTTCTTCTTCAGCGATAAAAATGTTGTAGTAAGAGAGTCAGTTTTAATTTTAATTAGGAAATGTAATGCAGTACTGTAATATTGTTTATATTATTTAAATCTAAATATGCATATAATATAATTACTTTTAAATTACCTGATCAACATCTTTTTCAGGATAGGTTGGCTGTACCTATAAATGAAGTATAGCATATTGATATCAAAGCAGTTGAAATGTTTAACCTGAGATATATAAAACTTATTTCTGAAATCATATAAGTCAATATGGATATTGTCAAAATATGTATAATTCTATTAAGTTTAGTAAGAAGTGAGGAATGACATGTTCAAAATGGTTTACTTCAATTGGCCAACTCTAACTAATAGAGAGGTTAAGTTAGACATTTTATTAAAAAACATGAACGCGTAGAATTATGGTCCTCTATGGATTGGTTCTCCCATTTTATTATTATTATTATATCTTGGTTACCGCCATATTTGGCGAGCAATACCTCATTGGTATATTCCGTATTTTACGTATTTTACACATTTTACACTCGAAGATAGAGCCAGAAACCCCTCCTTGGAGGAGCCCTGTTTTCTTTTATGTGCACAGGTACACAGACATACAGGTACACACCACAGCCTTTTATACGAGTCGTGAACCACTCAGTCAAACACCCAGAATTACATAACGCACAAACAAACTTGTCTGAACCGGGAATCGAACTCGGGGCCAAGCGATATTGGTAACCTTGACTCTCTCTGCCACTGAGCCATAGCGGGTGGACTTTGTAGTGTTTACTCGGCAAATTGAGTGTAAAGGTACACAGAAAATAATTGTAATTAGGTCCCTGGGAAAATAAAATGAAGAGGAGTCACAGTTTTAAGTGATGTTGACCCCATTTTCCCTTTTTAAAAAAATGTTTTTTTAATATACATCTGGAATCCGGATCAAGACAATATATTCTGAAAAGGTTTGAGAAAAAACAGAAAATGTTTGGCAAAGTTTGTGGCTCATAAGAGGGGCATGAAAGAAAGCTCTTCAAAATAAATGTGATTGTTCTACTTACTTTGAATGCAGTATTTCATTCATTCTCTGCAATCGATCTAAAACCCACCCGGGCAAGAGCTCTAAACTAAAATCCATATATTTACACTTTGCCTTGCATGACGTCTTACGCGTCATTCTTACTATGACTCGGGTCCCAAAATATTTTGGCTGAGATATCTTAGTCGAGATGTCTTGAGAAATTGTGAATTTACGTTACAATTCTAAATACCTGTAACTCTAAAGCGTTTCATGTAAGAGCTCTTAGGAGTATAGTGTAAATCCAGCTACTCACCGCATCATCTTCATACAACTCTTCAGCCAATAAGCCATGTTTACACAGCCATAATATTCCAGAAATTGATAAGAGATACATAGTGTCCCCTCCTGAAGATAAACAAACCGGATCATTTTTCATTTTTATCAATTCATGCAGCAAAGGTTATATTAAATAGATTCATTAAAGTTTTGTTAGAACATCCACAAACTTGGAACTGCCAATAACTATTGAGTTATATGGTATTAATCAAATTAAACTCCCCTTAATAATAATTGTGGTAACTATATTATAGAACATGATACATCCTTGGGAAAATCCTTTCCTGAAATAAAGTATGCACTGAAGGGATTTTTAGAAAATAGAAATGACAAGGAATGACGTGAGCCAAAAATATCCTAAATTGAAACAATATTTGTGAAGGTTGCTCGTTAGATCACATACTCCCTTTAAATGCATTATTATGGTATTTAGAATTTACTTTTTTTTATTTTAATTCGAGAAACATATTTTGTCTTACCTTTACCCTGGGGTGGACGTGTCAAATGGATAAGAAATGATCAGATGCTGGATTTTAAATGTCTTAATATCTAATCGGATATTGAGCCTTATCCTATTATAGTGTATTAGTTTAGTTGGTTCATATAACATTTTTATCCTTACTAAAGGAAATCTATTTCAATGAACTCAATTGTTATAACATCACATACATGTGTTTTGATGTAGGTCATTTACTTAACAGCCTTCAGGATTCATTTGAGATTAAGTGAAAAGAGATCATATTAAGAGATAATTTACAAATATTATCTTGCTAAATCTTTAAAGTAACCTTTCTATTATGTAGTATTTTTCAATCCTTGCTTAAGACGTACTTGGTGGTTAATCTTAAATACCTCTCGAAAGAGCTTAATTACATCTTCAAGGATGTTGGGTAATTTTGTAAAGATCATTGTCCTAAGAAAAAAAGCTGCCGGTTCAGGGGGAGATTTCCCAGAGATAAGCGTTGGTTTTGGCATATCCAATAACCAATTTTACAAACAAGCCTCATTTGACATTAAAATTGATCTCAGAATGTTCGCTGTTGTCTTATGATTATTCTCTACAAGAATGGATAGCGTAAATGATGTTGAACTGAAATAAACCTTGCCATTTCCACGATTTCAAATTTTACCTTTCCCATGCACGGCTCTGAGAAAACATTTGCTCATGATTGTTCATGTGATAATATCCTGCAAGTTGATTGGACATCATGTACTGATGAGCGTGATTTTAATACATTATGTTAATGAATACGAAAGAATTCGGGGAGCTACTCACTTCTTCTGCTGCTGGTTTTTACAAAATCAAATGATTTAGATAAATACAGGGTGTCCAATGAATTAGGTGAAAGATACTGTAACTTTCTCATTTTAACAATCTTAATTTGGGCAGAATATTAATAAATTTGCTCACATTCTTTAAATCTCAAGATTTTCCCATTTTATTGATCAAACTTATGGTTGATAAAGTAAATGAAACGACAAAAAAGCATTGTGTGAAAATTCATATAAAATACATATTTATAAGTTCTAATATTTATTGAAATGACTTGTATCCTAGCATATACACACATGCACATGTTTTTGTTTTGTGTTTTGTAGGGATATGCAAGCTACGTATATCAATATTAGGCCTTCATTCATGTACTCGTGTGCATGTAATCAGCATGCCCTTCAATATTATGTAAACCAGGCTATTCAAGTACTGTATAATGTACACTATTTATGTGTGTACTACATACACACAATACAATTCCCTGGGAAACAAAACACAAATACTTTTTATATGTTCAAAATGAGCCATTTGATTGATGCAAACACTAAATAGCTTCATAAATAACATCTACAAAGTATATCTAATAGTAATTTTCAATTTCAATGGTGAATCATCACGAGACGATGATCGTTCGCCTTCCTGGCTTACCTCTGAATCGTGTACCTGGTAATCTCTTTATATAGTTTAGCGAGAGCGGTGCGCCTGCGCAGTTTTAAACTTTGGCGCACACTTTAAATACACACCCGTTATAAACATGGTGTATAAACCATTTGTAACTACAATTGAAATTTGGCATTTCCGAATGAAGGACATTTTTGCCTTTTTATCGCACTTTGAAAAAGTGCTATATTGTCGTCGTCTTGTGCTGTTGGGCGGGCAGGCGTGCGGGCGGGCAGCACATAAACCAAATCTTGTCATCAAATTTCCAGGATAACTGCTTACCTGTTCAACTTGAAATTTTTACAGATGCAAGAGCAGACTAGTACCAAGATCTGATTAGGTTAAAGGCATGCTTGGTAAACTACGTGGTGGCCATTTTGAATTTTTCAACAAATCTTGTCATCAAAATTCCAGGAAAACCACTTATCCGTTCAACTTGAAATTTTTACAGATGCAAGAGCAGACTATTGCCAAGATCTGATTGGGTTTTGGGTATGCTGGCAGAATTACATGGTGGCCATTTTGAATTTTTCAATTTGGCGGCCATTTTGAATTTTTCAACTTGCTCCAAATTGACCAATTTTTTTTTAAAAAAACATCTACAAGTTCTCAGAAGTTCAAATCTGTCCTTAGATTTCAGATTTGACCTTTCATTCACCTTCAGTGACCTTGAAAAGGTCAAAAAGTTGATTTTCTAAATTGATATTTTGGATTTAAATTTAGGTCAGCTTAATTACAAAACACCTACTGAGGTCTGAAAAAGTGAAATTTTCAAGGTCGAAGGTCAATCAAATTAGGTCACAAACAATGTTATCTAAATTTTCCCAAAGTTCAAGACTACAAATAAATTCTTGTCATCAAACCGCTAACCTTGTCAACTTGAAATGTTTACAGAGGCAAGAGCAGACTAGTGCCAAGGTCTGATTAGGTTTTGGCCATGCTGGGTAAATTGCATGGTGGCCAGTTTGCTCTTCAAAGTGCGATATTTATCACTGTGTGTCTTGTTCTACTTCGTATTAGATCATAAAAAGACTTCCTAAGAATTTCGTGCAGAAGCACGATTGACATTGTCATTGAAAGAGCTGGTTTTTCTCTGCGAATAAGCAGCTTTTCAGTTCAAAATAGATTGTGTGAAAAACTGAAATTTCTTGTAAAAATGAACTGCTCCTTCGCATTGACCAAATTCACAGGCTGGTGTCGAAAGATTTGTCCGCTGTGACGGAGCATGCTATTTTTCATAAAAAAACATTAAGAATACTTCACAATTTATTTATTTTTAATTCATATGTTTAGTTTTATCAAAGAAAATTACCTACTCCATGCAATGGATATATCATTTGCGGATAAGCTTCACTTCTATTTGAAGTTCAGTTACGCTAGGAACAAAAGCTATTGAAACCGGCGCCAGAGTATCAAACTCTATAATGTACCGTTTCTTTTTAACTTTTTAATGGCATGATATAGTGACACGATAATATTTACATGTTTTCAGCATAACTCTAAATGTATTAATGATATCTGGATGTATTTGGTCTTTTTAATTTTTTTATAAGAAATAATGTTTAGATTTTTTGTCCATTGTGATGGAACAGTTTCTCAGTTCGTATTTGCAACTGCTCCGTCACATCAGATAAAAAATTAAACATTGTTTTTATAAAAGAAATTAAAAAGACCCAATACATCAATTATTTTATCAATACCTTCAGAGTTATGCTGAAAACATATGTAAATATTATTGGGTCACTATGTCAAGAAGTCTTTTTAAGTTGTTTTTTTAAGTTCGTAAGCTTACAAAATCACCTACATCTTGCTACTGCACACTCTACATACACACTGGCTTACATCTCATTCTTAGTTTACACTTAGTCATGTCTCTACCTTTTACCTTGCTAAATATTATTAACTAGTACAGTATGCCACAATTCCAGTACAAAGTTAATTACCTAATAAGTAAGTAATAAACAAGACTCAAGAATATGTTATAATTAGCATAATAGAATACATATCATGACACACTATATCGTGCCATTACAAAGTTAAAAAGAAATGGTACATTTTAGAGTTCGATACTCTTGTGCCATTTTCAATAGCTTTTACTCCTAGCGTTATGGGACTTCAAATAGAAGTGAAGGTTACCCAGAATGATATATCCATTGCATGGTGTCAGTAATTTTCTTTGATATAATGAAACATATGAGTTAGAAAATAAATTGTGTGGTTTTCTTAGTGTTTTTATGAAAAATAACATGCTCCGTCACAGTGGACAAATCTTTCGATACCAGCCTGTGAAATTAGGTGATGACATCCCATGGATGTCGAAATATTTGTAAGCAATGCGCAGTGTCTTATGACACTTTTTCTCGAAGGTGTTCATAACAGCCATTTTTTCATTTTTTACTGTCTTGAAGAATAGTGGAGCGATTTGTTTATATTGGATATGCAAATATTTATAAGCAATATACACAGTCTTATGGCACTTTTATAGTTATTCTTATCTTGAAGGGCCAGGCCTTGCATTTATAAAGTATCTTTGTTTTGTAGGGCCAGGCCTTGCATTTATAGTGCATCTTTGTCTTGTAGGATCAGGCCTTGCATTTATAGTTTATATTTGTCTTTTAGGGCCAGGCCTTGCATTTATAGTGTACCCATTTGCTGTGACAATGATGCCAGTGTCTCCCCTTTGGGCCATCCTGTTTTTCTTTATGCTCATAACACTTGGACTTGATAGCCAGGTCAGTAGCGTGCTACACTTCAACAGAGATCAACCATACATGAACTCTAAAAGAATTTTTTCATCTTTTGCACAGAAAATTAGTCAGAAAATAGTGACACAATTTTTTGAAGCTATAAGTAGCTAGTAGTTATCTCACATTTGAAATCCCAGTAGTTATTGATGAGTGATTATATTACACAATCCTAATCTTCCGGGTACATTCCTCAAAAATGATATTTGAATAAAATAGTTGACCTAATGACCTTTGTTGGTGATTAGCCTCTGAGCATCTGTAACAAATAGTTACACTTACATTAGTATGTCAAGTGAATGCTTGTTTCTTCTTTTCTAGTTTGCCATGTTGGAAACAGTCATGACGTCTATAATGGACCAATTTCTACATGTTCGGAAA